TTTTCATAATTTTCTTAATTTTCCAAGTTTTAAATCATGACATGACACACTGACACAACAGATGACACACTGACACAACAGATGGCACACTGACACAACAGATGGCACACTGACACGACAGATGACACACTGACACAAAACAGACAACACACTGACACAACAGATGGCACACTGACACGACAGACAACACACTGACACAAAACAGATGACACACTGACACGACAGACAACACACTGACACAAAACAGATGACACACTGACACAAAACAGATGACACACTGACACGACAGACAACACACTGACACAACAGACGACACACTGACACAACAGACGACACACTGACACAACACACTGACACAACAGACGACACACTGACACGACAGACGACACACTGACACGACAGACGACACACTGAAATGACAGACGACACAAAGACTCACGCTGCGTTCCACACACGACTGCCCCTGTGGAAGACGTAGAGGTTCCCTCGCTGGTCAACCGACACGCCCCCCACTTGACCCACGGTCAGCTCCACCCCAGGCCACGAGGTGTTCAGTTGCAGGGGATGGTCAAAGTGGATCTCTGGAACATACACATACATACATACATACATACAGGGACGGTCAACGTGGATCTCTGGAACATACACATAAATACATACATACAGGGACGGTCAACGTGGATCTCTGGAACATACACATACACACAGGTCAGCTGACACATACACATACATACATACATACATACATACATACAGGGATTGTCAAAGGGGGTCTCTGGAACACCTACCTACCTACCTACCTACCTACCTACCTACCCACCCACCTACCTACCTACCTACCTACCTACCTACCTACCTACCTACCTACCTACCTACCTACATACATACATACATACATACATACATACATACATACATACATACAGGGGTGGTTAAAGTGGATCTCTGGAACATACACATACATACATACATACATACCTACAGGGATTGTCAAAGGGGGTCTCTGGAACATACACATACATACATACATACATACATACAGGTCAACAGACACATACATGGCTAAGCCAAAACACACACAGATAAGATACAAGGGTAAGCCAAAACACACACAGATAAGATACAAGGGTAAGCCAAAACACACACAGATAAGATACAAGGGTAAGCCAAAACACACACATATAGCGGTACACGACAACACACAATGTGAAAATATAACACACTAGATATCACATGACAACACAGTGGGTAAAAATACAACACACTAGACAAAGCATGAAGAACAACACAGCCAAATGTCAAGCCGGGGAACACATATGCGCTGGAGTCACAACTTCAATATCCCCGCGCTCACAACATATATGCCGACGTCATTTTTGACCGCTGTCAAGTTAATGGCCTTGAAGGCAGAGCCGGCTTGGTACTAGAGATCACTTGGACAAAAGAATACCACAAAACTAGAACAACAATTGAGTGTAGCAAAGTTCAAGCGTTTCAGAGGGCAACTTTTCACAAGAAAAATTATTTACCGTTTTCTCAAAACGGCTAAAAATGACTTACGCATTTATCTTATGAGCATGACGATATCATAAAGTAACCAAATTGTAACGGTGTAAACTTTTATATCAATACAAGCAGCAAAATGGAACAAAATTGTAACACTGTTTGTTACAGCATCATGCAGCAAAAAAGAACATAATTTTTTTAACCAAGTGAATTAGCACATCATTACCAAAAAGGAATCAACTGTTACCATTTCCGTAGTCACTTATCTGACTAAAAAGGAACCAGGTTGTAACGTTAGATTTATAATGACTGTAACAAAAAGGAACCAATTTGTATAGTTTAGATTTCTAACATCTGTAACAAGAGGGGGAAAAAATGTAATTTGAAGATTTAGAACATGGGTAACAAAAATCTCTCAGGTTCCCAAGTCATCCACACACACACACACACACACACACACACACACACACACACACACACACACACACACACACACACACACACACACACTACA